GCCTCGTGATCAGCCGTCGCACACATTCAGAGAGCCTTTTTTCTGAAACCTTGTCGCGCCGCACCCAATTCAGAATTTCGAATAACCTCCCTCAGAAATGGCCTCAGTCAGATGCTAAGCTATGTCAAGCCTTACTCCGCTGGATTACTCCAGGCTGTTATGTTACGGCCATATGTGTGTGTATGTGTTTGTGTGTGTGTGTGCGTGCGTGTATCTGGCAAAAAAGGCCAATGTGCCCCTTCCTCTCCCTTTTCTGTACCTTGGGGCACCCAGGGATGTGGAGAGGGACACCAATCCTCTAATGGTTGGAGGAGAGGGCCCATTCCATTAGTCAGGGGGCCCAGAGTTCACTGCTGCTCCTCGGCGCGAGCAGGGCGGAGAGAGCGAAATGGAAGGTAGGTGAGGGCCGGGGGCAACGCAGAGGGCAACGCTGCACCAGCTGCATGCTGGGAAATGCAGCACTTTTATTTATTTATTTTCTCTCTCCCCCATCTCCACTCCTTCCCTCCCTATTTCGATTTCCTCATGCAAGTACACATGCACACACCTTGCGCGTATAGCATACACACACACACACACACACACACACACACACACACACACGCACACGCTCGCTCACAGTCTGACTTCCTCTCACCCGCTTTTGTCCCCAATTTTAATTCATTCCAGTAAGCTTTTCTCCATTTTCCTTATCTCTTTCTCTCTCCATCACACTCATTCACTCACGGCTATCTCCATCTCTTTCATTTTTGTCTTTCTCTCTCTCTTTTTCTCTCTCTTTCTCTCTCATTTAATTTTTTTTTTTTTTTTTTTTTGCTTACTGACCCTCCCCTCGCTCCATCCTTGCTCATGCCTCACTCTCATTTGTAGAAGGAGAGAGGACTTGACTGAGGAATATGTGGAGGAGATGTGGTTCCCCTCCCAGGTGGGAAACTCTGGCGGGAGAAGAAGGAGAAGGGGGTGAGGAGGAGGAGCACAGAAATTACGCTACCACTCCCTCTCTTTCCCTTCCTCTCTCTCCCCGGGCTGAGATGATGTATGGCTGCAAAGGCCACATGTTGGGC